ATAACATGAGAATTTTAAATTACACTATTTTTTAATTTCTCCGTGATCGTTAGGCATACAACAGCGCTTCAATATACTAATTTTTTTTTTTTAAGCACAAAAGGGTTTGAAAAGAAATTGCAAAATTTTTTGTTTTTAGGGTCAAAAACGGGAAAACCCCATAAAATCCTCCATAAATCTCCGTTCCCATGGTCCAATTATGCTGGTTCGCGAACTCGTTTGAAAAAAGTTTACGTGTTTATACCAAATTTCATAAAAATCAGATTATTTTTAGCACAACTATAATGTTACTTACCAAAACTTTCATAAAATATTATTTTTTTAGTTTTTATAAAGATTCTGCAGAATGATTAGGTTTTATAGTTAAATGTCAAATATAAAAAAAGTTTCCTCTACAAAACAGCTTTAATATAAAAAAAGAATTATTGAAATCAGACCATTAGAAGTTGAGATACAATAAATATTGTGCAACAGTACGTGGGCATATGGCAGCCATCTTTAATGGCCGCCATTTTGGTGTCCTACACGGAATTTGAAGTGGCTCCCTATCTGAAAAGTTCCCTTTTGGTATCAGCTATGACCACTGAAAGTGCCATATCTCAATCAAAAAGTGCAGCTTTTTTTGTGTACACACCGTACTATTAGAATGTTTTAAGTGTTTACGATTTATATAACTAATAAAATATTTAAGTGTCAAGCGAAATATTTCATTTCATATCATTTGTATAAAGAAACAGATTATAAAAATGTTCAATTATATTATTTCAATTTATTTAACATTTTGCGATTCTCAATTATTATAATATCACTGTGTAACAATTCTCTTTATTTTATGTACTTATCAATAATGTGCACATTTAGTTAGATTTATTAAATCATAATATTATATTGGCACTGGTGTTCACTTTTTCCACGATCCTAGAGGTCCTCCATCTAGCGAGTACTCTACCCTAAGCTAAGTTCTTCCCCCCCCCCCCCTTTGAAGTAATTTTGTTTGGTAAAGAATTTAGTAAGTTTTCTTTTACCTCTACAGAGGAGTAGAGGCCAGAGAGCTTTACAAACTGTTAATCCTTTTTATTTATTTTATATTTACTTTTTAAAATTTGTATTTTAGATCAAAGTCTTAGGGTAGTTGCTTGAACTTCTCTTCTAATCAGGGAAGTCCCATCTTTAATAAAGATGTAGAAGACTTATGAGTTCATTGTGAGGCAAGTAAATCTGGTCTCAGGATCAATGAAAAACACCTATTTACCTCAACTATTTTATTACATATCAATGCCATATATATAAATAAAATGTCCATTACAAACTACACCCTAGCACCATCAATCGATAGTTTTTTAATCAGTCCCAGTACTGGTTTTTACAGTTCCTTTAAAAAAAGTTTATCTTGAATAAGTCACAAATTTGTTATTTGCTGGAAGTGTTTAAATTAAATAACTAGGTTACTTATCAGTTTTGCTGGTGTTGAAGACCTGCTATGGCTGTCTGGCAGTTATAGGTCTAATACAAGATTCACTCCGAGTCACTCATACTTATTTTAACTTTTCGCATATTTATTTAACTGTCACTTCTACTTTAAACAATTAATTTTTTATACATACTGTTCAAAATTTGTCATTTTCTACATTCACACGAGGCAAGAGGTTTGATCCGAGAGACCTGCTTAGGTCATCCCTGCACGAATGGTTTCTGTAGAGTGCTCTTCTAGATTTCCGTTGTAATTTCCTTGTTCTTCATGAAAGAATGCAAATTGCTTCAATTTTAAGTTATTATTACAAAATTTGCACCATAGCTAGACATTTTCTCACAGGTCTTTGGTTGGTTAGTAAACTTTTATATAGGCTAGATAGGTTTGAGTAAAAATTCTTTTTGTAGGCCTATTTATTTTAGCCTATTTATTATTATAATAGCGCCATACATTTATTTTTTGTTATGTCAGTTACATGTTTTTATTGATGTTTTTCAACCCTTTTTTAATTGGAAACCATCCAAACCTTTCTAATGATATGAGAATACTAAGTCCGAGATGTTAACCGTTAGCCTAGCGACACATCCAGTTGATTTTTTATAGGTAATGTTAAGAAATCTCCGTATTTAACCTTATTTAAACCCAATATAGACCCAGTAATAGGTGGAGTAGACTGCCATATGTGATTTGGATATGTTTATGTGTTCAATGTTCATTATGAAGCAATTTTTAAGCTAAGATGTTGTGTTGATTCAATAAAAACCTAATTTAAGTTTAGTTCCAGGGATTCAGTTAAAGCACCTAAAAAGTAGATTTGATTTTACTACATCAAGTAGAATTTCAGCAATAATGTACCAAATAAAACACATCTTAAAAAAATATATATTTGAAAAAGTAGCTAAAATTTTAGCTATATTAGCTACATTTCATTGTAGCTGTAGTTGTAGCTAGCTACTTTTTTGGACATGTAGCTGTCGCTGTAGCTAAGCTACTTTTTTTTAAATAGCTAGCTGCATTTTAAATGTAGCTTCCCCAACACTGGTGGCTAGTAATAGATAATTTAAACTATTGAAAAATACAACAACAATACAAAAATATACAGGGCCTGATTAAGGGTCTAGTCGCCAGTAGGCTGACGTTTTTCGCGCCCCCTCCTCCCTTCCACTACCCTCCTCTCCGCTACCACTTTCAAAATTTCAAAGAAGGAATACTAATACTGAATTCAAAATTAAAAATGGCCAAAGGCATTATACTAATATTCAGTTTATTTAAAAACAAACAAAAGAAAACTGATCATAAATAATTTATGTATGGTTTGATTAGGAATTTTTTAAATAGTAACAAATCTGTTGTTCAAGGAATGTAAAACTTTTTTATTTAATAATGTATTTATTTTACATTTTATTAAACATATGATTGTATTAAATCAAAAGTAAACCTAACCTAAAATATCGAAAAAACCAAACAATAATATGCGTACTTTCTAAATTAACTCTGTTAATCACCTAGGCCTAAACCAATTTTATTAGGACATTTGGATGGAATTACTTAGTTTACAGCATTTATCTGTATTTATCTGCAACAAAAAGTATCGTTAAATGTTTTTATAAATCAATTATTACTATAAACTAGCTATAACCCATAGACTTCATAAGTATTAATAAAACTATTGATTGGTTAAGTTAAGCTGAAATAAACAAATAAGTACAGCTGAGGTATTTTTAACATTAGGTATATGGAAAGTTCCCTTTAGAAAGGAATTACGACCTTAAAGGGCAATTTATGAAATAATGAATAGTTTTGCGCAAGGTTTCTTGTCATTACGAATATTTTAAGTATATGGTTTATGGGGGTGTGACTTGTAGTTTTCTCAAAAGTTCATGGGTACTTTGGGTTTTATATATGGACTAGTGGCTTGTAGGGGCAATAGCCCCTATATTCTATAGTAATTACTTTTACAAATTATTAGTCTCATGGGTTACCCTACCTACCTTGAATTATCATTTAACTTTTTTTATTATGATATGTATAATAGTTATTACATACCTGCAAAATGCGTTTTGATGTCTGCTCTATTTAAAATACAAAATTCCAAAGGACATGTGGTGTGTTTATAATATAAACTTTCAAATCATAATACAACTAAGGAACATTTTCCAATAACATTCTTCATGACTATTAAATAAATATATATAGATTTCTTTAAATATAGACAAATTCACTTAGAAAAACACATATAGAGATAATGTCATCATCCAAATTGTAAAATGCTAATTCATCTAACAAAATCTCTCTGAAAAAACATTTGTTGTATAGTATCCATTTTGATCTGTTAGTACTATAAGGGAGTATGTTTTATCTATGGTACTATTAACATCATCCACGCTCTTTACCCATCTAAAAGCAACATAAAGTTAACCATGGGTAAACACTGAGATTTTCAAATTAATGCCAACTTTTGTGAAGGTTCGGCCTTCCGCCACAATTTCACCAAATCAAATTGCGCAATGCACTACAGTGAATGCACCCATAGTTCATTGGCCCTACGCTGTGTAATGCAATCTCACATAAAAGTGGTAATCTATACACAGGAATAACTTCATGGTTATCCGATGCTCATTTATTCTTCTTCCATTAATATCGTGCCAAATCTGGCGCCTCTAGTTCTCATTTCGAGGAACAATACCTCTGAGTGGTAGTCTTCTGACATTATACATTGTTACTGTGCAAGCCATTTAAGTTTACAGTTTTTAAGTTTTGTGGTTATATTTTTTCAATTTATATAATCACAGCTGTGTTTGCACTAAATAAAAATACATAAAATTAGATTCCCATGCTATTTAAATGTGAATTGTTTTTATTCCGTAACAACCTTTTTGTGCATAATTAAGAAAAATGAATAATTTTCCCCAAAATTTCATGCCCAGACCTTTAAAATGAGACCTCTTCCAGCTTTCTACCGCCTCCCGTTCGCTCACAATTTCATTGTAAAATTTTGGGCTTACGGAATTAGATATATAGATTATGAAAATCTGCCAAACGCACCCTTCCCCACCTCCTTCCCTATCAGGTGAATCCTTTTTTGGAATAAAACATTTTTACGCCCCCGGTCCCAACTTTAAGTCTTAGCTGTCTGGCGCCCCCCCCTAAAACACTTGGCTGACTGGCGCCCTAGGCTCCAGCCCAATTAGCCTAATGGGTAATCAGGCCCTGAAAATATAAAATAACAACTACTAATAGGCAAAACCTAATCTTGACTATTAAGCATTTTTAAATTGATTTAGAAGATAAACATAGACATCTCGTGACAAGCAGAAACATTTAATTACACTGCAATTACAGGAGTTCATTGTCAAAGATAGCCCATCGTAACTGCCTCTAAGTTGAAAAAATCTACTCATGATGTTTGACACACAGTGTCTTATCAAAGAGTTTTGTCTAACAGACTTAGTCAAAAGACAGTCGTGACTAAAGAAAAAATCTAATTGTAATTACAGCATTAATTACAATATATTAACTTTTTTTACAGAAGATCTTATGTCCTATAGCAGTCAAATAAGGAAGTAATCAAGTCATGTGGGCTCATTCGCAACTTTACCTCAAAGGTCAGTACATAATATTTTCCCTGGGCCAATAAGTGTTTTTACAAGAAGTACAGGGTGTCCACAAAGTCTTAGTCTGATAAGGAAACCGAATCGCATGAAAACGAGTGATAATAGGATAAAGATCTATTTACAGATGTAACAGACAACTTCTCAAGATTTTATAACTATGTACAAACGTAACACAACTCTAGGTGTGCGCCTCCAGTGGCCTGCTGATCTTCTATCCGTCTTTTCAGATTGTCCCAGGTTTTAGTCAGCATATCCTGGGTTACAGACGTCACAGAATTTCTGAATCGCTACCGCAGTGTGTGTAAATTAGGAACCGAGGAAGAATAGACAGTGTCCTTGACAAATCCCCACAAAATGAAATCCACGGGCGTTACATTGGGGGAACGAAGTGGCCATTTCGTCGGCCCATCACTCCCGATCCATCGTCCAGGGAAGTGGAAATTTAAAAAATCCCTCACATATTTAGCTTAATGAGGCGGTGTCTCAATGGAAAATTATTATAGGCTGCAGTTCTTCTAAATAGGGGACTACGTACAATTCCAACATATCCAAGTAAACAAACCTATTCAAATTTTCTTTTGCAAAGATAAATGGTCCAATGATTCCATCATACATTACACCAAAGATTTAGTTTTGGACTGTCCCTTTCATTTTCAACCACCTGGGATCCTGGGATTTTCAGTTCAGCAAATTCTACAATTATTGAGTCTGTTAACCTTACCACTTAAATGGAAGGTCGTCACACTGCTATAGGGGATTGGTTTTTGTAAAACAACTACACTGTGATTTCTCATGTAAATTCACCATTTCTGATTTGTTATTGTATTCAATCATAGCAGTATTGTTGTCAATCAACTGTGTTTAGGGGTTACCAATTATTTCAATAAACAAAACTTGATTAAATTCCTTTCAAAACTAGGCATATAAGTTAAGTGTGGCTTTAATGGTTTTCCAACAGCAGAGCTATTAAATCAGGCCAAGTCTTTGTGGACACCCAGTATCTTCTAAGATTTTTATTTGTTAATTTGTACCAAAGCCTTAAGCTATCTTTCAGCTTAAAGATTTTTGTTAACATATTGTATGTTGCTAAAAAATACTTTTATGTTGGATATTAGGTTATGATGTGTATTTACTGCATTTGTATGGTTATCTTGTATGTGGCCAGTCCCTAGATGCCCTGAAAACGTCCATTATTAAGGCACTCCATAAAAAAGGAGACCACCACCTCTGCGACAACTACAGACCTATAGCCGTAACATCATCTATATCCAATCCCAATGTATTTGATAAGATAATACTACTAAGACTATTGGATTTTTTTTTACCAAAAATAAAATTATTTCAGAGAAATAATATGGGTTCACAAAAAACAAAACTACTGCAGATTCAATGAGTGATCTTATTCCAAATTTAGTAAATTCATTGGATACAGGGGAATATACAATGGCATTTTTTTATCTGAGCAAAGCCTTTGATATGGTGGATCACACATTACTTCTTGATAAGATTAGAAAAGGTTCAAATATCTGATCAGTTACCATAAATGTCTCGTATTCGTGTTTGTGTCGTGTTTAAATGTTTATTTATTATTTTCGTGTAAATTATATGACGCTCTTCGTATGAAGAAAACCGTCCTTGTACAGCCTGATGATGGTGCCACACAGGCACCGAAACTAGTTGTGTTAACAACAACATTGGATTGCTTAATAGCAGGTATTTGAACCTTTTCTAATATTATTTGGCAATCCGGAGGCTAACACCTACAATTAAATTCTTGATAAGCTTTCTTGTCTTGGAGGTGGCTGCCACTGCAATGGTTTAAGTCATTCATTACAGGTCAGAAACAGTTTTTGATGATTCAAGCGGTGAATGACTCAGGGTATCTGAATACCTACCGCTCACCCCTCTGCGAGTCTGCTAATGGCGTGCCTCAGGGGCAGTCCTCGGTCCGTTGCTGTTCCTTGTCTTTGTGAATGATCTTCCATCAGTCGTTAATTCTGAAAACATTTGCTTGTTTGCTGATGATACAGTTTCTGATCAAAATTTCGATGAACTCGAACTAGAAGCCTTTTTTGCAAGTGATTTCAATGATGCTGTGGTTTGAGAACAACTCACTGAGTCTAAATGCCAGAAAAATTTAATTTATGAATTTCTCTATAAGTTAAGCTAAAAAAAAAAAAAAAAACAATTTCCTTTTGAATTGTGTTGAGCTTGAAGCAACTGATTAGGTTAAGTTCTTGGGATTGGTGCTCAAACAGAAACCTCCGCTTTTATGCCCATATTGACACATTGTGTTCTTTGGGAATCTTTCTCCTCCGCTAACTTTCTAAGTTTGCAAATTGTGATGTTCTAATAACAGCATATTATGGAGTTATTTTCCCGCACCTGATGTACGCACTGCCGGTGTGGGGGTGTGAGTGTGGGAAAACGTCTTTCCTTTTCCGACTCCAGAAGAGGACAGTCTTTGGTTTGAAAAAAAGAATATCTTGCAGGCAATACATTACTTCATCACACATTTTAACATTTCCCTCAATATACATTTTGGAAACTTTGATTCACATTAAAAAGAACCTACACCAATATCAATCTTCACCTACACCTATTCCTATTTCCTACTTAACAATTCTCATCTTAAATTGCCATCTCACTCAACGACATTTTTGAGACACTTCCATTACAACTGGCATTAAACCTTTTAATCTATTTCCTCCCTCCCTTTAGCTGGAGTCCTGTCGTATTTGAACAGTTTTAAAAGGCAAATAAAAAAAATACTCTTGGCCAAGAGTTACTACAGTGTCCGTGATTGTGTTGCTGATGGGTTTAGTTAGTTAATTTATCCATGTTTGCCTCCTGGATTGATTAATAATAATAATAATAATAGGTAAAATACCTTGTATACGTCCTCAATCCAAGTCGTCTTTTACAATGACTATAGTTTCGGGGCCAACAGCCCCATTGTCAAATTTTCTGTCTTGTTAATTACTGTTTAAGCATTGGTCACCGTTGAAGTTTACATATACACATACACTGACACACGAAACATTTATATTTACACGTAACATTGAAAAATTATACTTTTGGCCGGCCTAAACAAAAGTGATTACATCGTTGTGCGGACCGGTACACTGACTGACTGACTGATTCATGTTAGCCGATACCCTGGAGACGTTGACCTTGGCCTTGGGGGAGGGGGGTGATCAGCTGTTTGTCAGTATTTCTATTGTTCAATGAATCGATGCGATCGAACAGAATGTTGGAATTGAAAGTTAGTTTTTCGTTTAACACATCGCTTGGCGATTTTTTGAAAGCTTTATAAATTTCATAGCTTTCTAGGACGTTCATCACGGGGCCTTTATTGCATTTATGTAAAATTTCTAATCCTCCATTGGAACTTTTTATGGAATGGTTTTCTTTTTGCAGGTGTTCGGCAATCTTAGAACGCTGTGAATGCAATTTAGGTTTAGGGAGATGTTCATTAAACCTTGTTCTAAAGGAACGACCAGTTTGCCCTATGTATATGCTTAGGCAATCATTGCAGTTTATTTTATAAACACCCTGTTACCAATATTAATACGCCGATTCGTGGTCAAATGACGTTCTATCTTGCTTGAGGTATTGCATGCCAAGGTGATATTTTGTTTCCTAAGTTCATTTTTAATAGTGAAATGGAGGACATTGCCGTATTCAATTGATACGAACTTATGATCAGACTTATCAATTTCTCGTTTAACGGTTCTGGATTTCTGTTCACTGATTATTTTATCTATGATGTTACTTGGATAACCATTTGTCACTGCAATGTGTTTTAAAATGAAGTATTCGTTGTCATAATCATTTTTCGTTAACGGAACTTTCAATAGTCGGTTTACAAAACTATTGTAGGCAGCCATTTTGTGGGATTGGGGATGGTTAGAAGTGGCGTGTATCGTATGATCAGTTGCCGTGGGTTTCCTGTAAATTTTGTATTTGAAGCTGTTATTGTCTTTTAATAAGGTCAAATCTAAGAAATTAATAGAATCGTTCTGTTCGATCTCCAATGTGAATTTGAGGTTATGGGAAATATTGTTGAGATAGTTGTTGAATAAATTAAGTTGTCTTGCATTACCGTTGAATAGTACAATTGTGTCATCCACATATCTTTTGTAGAACAATATTTTGTTGGCAAATTTGTTGTTATGAGGAAATATATGTTCATTTTCGAAATGGTTCAAATAAAATATCTCGGATAGAATGCTTGATAAGGGTGAACCCATGGCCAAGCCGTCATTCTGTAGAAAGTATTTATCATCAAAAGTGAAGTAATTCTGCTCTAGGACCGTCTTAAGAAGGGTTATTACTTCATTTATGGCTTCAGGGCTAAGTTCTGAATTATGCAACAAATTATTCATGGTTATGTCGAGGGTTTCTGGAATCGGGACATTAGTATACAAATTAATAATGTCGAACGAAGCAATTGTGTGTCTGGTTTCCACTTTCATGTTTCTTGTAAAATCTATTAATTCTAGACTGTTTTTGAGGCTGTGGTTGTTGTTAAATCTTATATGAGTGCGGAGTAATTTATCCAAAACTTTAGCTAACTTGTAAGAAGGTGCAGATGTAAAATTAACTAGGGGTCTAATGGGCATACTGTCTTTGTGGATTTTTGGCAGTCCTCTTAGTACCGGTGCTCGTGGCTTAATCATTTTAAGGTGGTTGGATTTTTTGCCAACGAAGATGTGTTTGGTCCTGTTTAGGGTTGTTTTTAATATAGTCTGGAATTTGTCAGTTGGATCAGAATTAATTTCTTGGATGTCATTTTTATTTAAAAAATCAAAAACCTTCTCTTTGTAATCACTTAGTTTCAAAATTACTATTGACTGACCTTTGTCTGCTTTAGTGATGATGCATTGGTTACTAATTAATTTTTCTTTAATGCTTTTTATGATTTTAATTCCATTATCAAAACCGTTTTTATGTTTTTTGACATTCAGAGTTGATTTAATTTTCTTATC